CAACTATATTTTGGAATTTGAATCCAAATGTATTATTTCCTAAATATATTTTATATTTATATCTTAACTAATCCCTAAGTTTTCCTAAGTTATTTGTTAAATCTCATTTTTTTAATATTGTTACAAAAACTGTCCTTGACTGAAAGCCCAAAATTCTCATTTCAATTAACTAGACCTCCCCCCCCCCAAAAAAAAAACAAAAAAAAAAAAAAAAACATACCACTGAATTGTTATAAATAGCAAAACTGGGTTTCTCCTTTTCTGGGTAATCATTATGTGAAACCATAATAAAATTTGGAGAAAGGCAGCTAAAGGGGGGGAGGGGGGGGTGGAGATGGTTTTTCAGAGTTTATAATCTAGATCAGGCTATTTTCATAAATGCAGCGTTGGAACATGACCACACCCATATTACCTAGGACTGCTTTTGCTGCAATGGCAGAGATGAGTTAATAAAGACATTCGCCTTGACAAAAAATGTTTACTAAACAATGAACTAGACAATCAATACTAAAAAGAAACAAATTCCAAACAATAAAGAATTTAAATTTAAAAAGAAGAAACAAATTCCAATAAGTCAAAATGTTTTCATAATGTTTTCATTTGTCTGAGATTAATATTTGCTTCTGTTTGATCTATAATAGATGACTTTTATTTTGGTTCAGCTGGGATGTGGTCAATCTGACTACTTCTTACCATCTCCACCACTAGTAACCTGGTCCAACGCCCCTGGATTACCACAACTGTCTCTCATTTGATCTTGTCTCACTCAATCTACTACAGTCTCTCCTCAAATACAGTAGTCTGACTTTAAAAACTTGTCCCATATGTCTTTCCTTTGCTCTATACCTTTCAATGGCCTTTCACTGCATTCCGAATAACAGCCAAAGTTTAAAATGGCCTATAAAGCCTTATATAAATTGGGGCATACTATTTCTTGCCTCATTTTTATTACTCTCCCCTTCCCTCATTCCCTCTTCTGCCAAATTAACCTCCTTCCTGTTCCTTGAACAAAAAGCCAGAAATATTCAGTATTAAGTCTTTTATAATGGCCATTCTCCCTGCCCAGAACATTGGGGGTTTTTTATTTGATTGATTTTTCAGTTATCTGCATTACTAACTTAGTTACTTAAAGTGTTTGCTCAAATCTCATCTTCAAATGAGGCCTATCCAGGCTACACCATTCCATAATTCTCTATTTCTTTACCTTCTATTATATATACTTAATTTTTGCTACATTATATTTATTATTTGTCTTCTCTCCCACCCTACTAAATCTAAGCTGCAGATGCTTGGAACACTTGTAGTTTGTGGGCAGAAGAGAGAGGAGAATAAATGATGCTTATGAATAAGGAGGTAGAAAATATATGCTTTTCCTCAACTGAGTAGGAGAGCAGGCAGGAGAGAACAATTTTCCAAGTTAAAAAAAAAAAAAAAAAAAAAAAAAAAAAAAAAAAAAAAAAAACACCTCAAAACCCTTAAATTACGTGACTTATTTCCTTTAAAATAAAAACTGGCAAACTCCTCAAAAACCTACTCTAAAAAAAAAAAAAAAAAAAAAAGGATTTGCAGGAGTAGAGAATTATCTAAAACTGCCAAACCATTTTAAAAAACAACAACTATGTGCCACTCTTGAGGCTTGTTGTTTAACATATTATCTAAAAATGCCAAATCAATTAAGACAGGAAGGTGGAGGGCAAGATTTTGTACTATGGAAACTCCCGAAGCTTACTGTTTTAACACATCAAAAAAATGAGCACAGTTACAGACTGAATTAAAGCCAAAGTCAATGTCACATTATGAATGCAGTAAGATCTGCCCTAGTTGGGTTTTAGTTGAGGCATCATCCCGTACATCATAAGTTGTGGGTCCAATTCCTGGTCAGGGCACATACCTAGCTTGTGGGTTCCATCACCAAGTGAGGCACATATAGAAGGCAACTGAGTGATATTCCTCGCTCTCTAAAACCAGTAACAACAGCTGAAGCCGGTTTGGCTCAGTGGTAGAGCATCGGTCTGTGGACTGAAAAGTCCCAGGTTCCATTCCAGCAAAGGGCATGTACGTTGGCTGCGGGCACATTCCCGGTAGGGGGTGCGCAAGAGGCAGCTGGTCGATGTTTCTCTCCCATCGATGTTTCTAGCTCTCTATCTCTCTCCCTTCCTCTCTGTAAAAAATCAATAAATATATTTTAAAAAAATAAAAATAAAAATAAATAAAAAAATAAAACCAGTAACAACATATCCTCAAACGAGGATTAAAAAAAATTTTTTAACATGACCAATCAATATAGTTTCATAAATGAAATATCCCTAGATAATTTTATAAACATTTACTCCAAACAACTGGAACCTACCATTTGTTTCCAACTGACTAATGAGATTACAGTCGCCAATTCAGAGCACAGTTACAGACTGAATTAAAGCCAAAGTCAATGTCACATTATGAATGTGGTAAGGCAAGTACAGCAGACCAGTGTCTCTTGTGCCTAGTCCCATAATCTCAAATGACTGCCACAGCAATTATTAGCAATGGTTTCTGTCTCTAAGAATGAATAAGTGAATAAAACGATTAATATAGCAAACCAGTAACAACTTCCTTCTGATACAGAATTGCAAAATTAAAAACACGTATCTGATTGCCTGAAACCTTGATCAATGTAAGACCCTGAAGAATTACATATACACAATATAACTGCACTCTCTAAAAAGCCAAAAAATAAATAAATGCTTTATTTTGAAATGGTATTGACTTAATGAATCTTGTTAAGGAACTTACGTTTATTACAAGATGGCAGAGCATTAGGTTGTCATTATAAAGTTCTAGTTTAAATAATGATTATCCCTCAAATAAATGATAATTTCTTATAATTGTCAAGTGCCTACCAGAGAGAGAACTTTGGTTTACTTTACAAACACTTTTCAAATTAAGCTCCCATTTTCTGAGTATTTATTATATGTTAGGTACTGTGCTAAGCGCCTAAGTGTATTTACATGTCTTTAATCCTCACAACAACCCTATAAGATTGACACCTCTATTATCTGAATTTTACAGAGAAGAAAAATGAGGCTTAAATAAGTTAAAGAATAACTTAAACCAAGAACTCAAGTATGCATAATTCCAAAGCCTGCTCTTAACCATTACAAGAACTGCCTCTCTAAATTTTCCTATATTAATACATTACAGTATTAGTATAAATGAAGCTGAATATTATCTTTTTCTACACTGTAAATATTTAATTAATGTTGGCTAATTACAGGGCAAGTAAAATTTACTTAATCCTCCACAGTCTTGTGTACCTTATAGCTATTCACAATTAGAATAAATAAAAGTGCAAAGTATGTTTTCAAAATAAAATTTGCAAATGTGAGTGTTCAACATTTCAGAAAATATTAGTTACATGATAATCAAACGTGTAAAAAGAGTCAAACTAATTACACATAAATTCACTCCCATTTCCACCAATTTGTGTTCAACTGTGGCCTGGTCATTTACCCTTCCTTCATGACTCATCTGCAAAACAACAGAAATAGACTAAGAAGAAGGAATTCTCATCATTTGCAGCAACCTGGATGGAATTGGAGAACATCATGCTGAGTGAAATAAGCCAATCAATGAAAGAGAAACACCACATGACCTCAATCTTTTGTGGACAATAAAAAACATTATAAACTGATGAACCAAAAGATAGATATAGAGACAGTAAAGCAACCAGCAGACTGTCAAATTACAGCGGGGAGGGGAGGAAGATCTGGGGGAGATAATAGATCCACCCAAGGACTTGTATACATGCATATAAGTACAACCAATGGACACAAAACTCTGGGGAGGGAGGGGATATGTGGGAGGGAGGGAGAGGGGCAAAAAAAAAAATCAAAAAAAAATATGTAAAAATAAATAAAATTAAAAAAATTAAAAAAAAGAAATAGACTAAAGAACCTGATGATAATACATTACTATCCTAATTTTACCAGCTGTTAAAAAATAAATATCTGGGAGGCAGGAAAGGTTTATTTACACCTGATTTTCTATTACAGAATACACATTATGAAGTAGAGACAGGTTTACTATGCTAAAATTCCTCCAAATCCTTTGAGAACAAGTATTCTCTTTTCAAAAAGTTTTAATAACAGTAATAAATAGCTATTATTTATTGGCCTGTTTTACATACACACCTATATTACTGATACCTTACTAACAAAAAAGACTGCTCTTCATCTCACTTAACTTCGCCAGTCTTATCTTAAGTCACCTTAAGTCATGTGTCCGTTGTGTTTTAGTAATAAAACTTAAGAATTCGGTATCCAATGCCTAGGGAAGGGCCTGGCACAGTGCATAAACTTAATAAATGTGATTATTTCAGTATTATTCACATTGTCAATAAAACGTCTTCTATAACTCAAAATCTTGACTGGGTAATTAAGACTGCCACAGGAAATGCTATGGTTCATATACCTTTCAACTGTAACAGATACTAAACCACCTCAAAACCAAAGATACTTCGGGTGAAGCAAAAACACTTTGTAGCAACCAACACTGTATTTATGTAGCGAGTACCATGTCTGGCCACATCATTAAAACACAGACAACAAAATTGCTTTTGGGGATTGGCCATTTTACTTTGCAGTGGACTTCCCTCCCTTTAAAATCAGACCGAACGCCAATAACGTAAAGCCTCGTTAGGTGCCAAAGACTCAAGCGACCACGGCACAATTCCTGGGGAAATTGACACCCGCGCACAAGGCACCCCTGGGCGTCACTGCAGCCAGCGGCCACCCTGCCTCCTCTCCGGCCGGAGGGCAGTCCGGGAGCGGCTGACGCGCTGCGGTCCGTCCTGTGACCACGCTCCTCCGGAGCCTCTCCCTCCCGGCAGGCAGGGCGTTTCAGGGAGCGCCGCCCCGGAGCCGGCATGGGGACTGGGACCCAGGGCGGGGCGCGCGGGAAGCGTCAGGGCCGGACCCTGAGCAGAGGCGGCGGCGCTGGGAGCCAGAGCCCCGCCCGGGTACCTTGCGTCCAGCGGCAGAAGATGGTGTCAGACAGACCGGGACTGCTCTTGGTGCCCCACACCAGCTCCACCAGCTCTTTAGTCTGTTCGGACATGATGGGGTGCCGGCGAACGGGTCTTCGCTTTCGGGACTCCCGCCCCGGAACATGGGGAAGGGGCGGCTCCGGAGACGGGGGGCGCGGGACGGCGGAGCCCAAGCAGCGGGCAGCTGGGACGCGAGGCGGGCGAAAGGAGAAAGGGCTGCATACAGCCACTGCGCCTGTCAAGACCGCTCCGGCGGCTGCTAAGTTTCCCGTACCGGAAGTACCGAACCACCCACTTCCGGCTCCTCTCTCGCGGCCACCCTCGCCACACCCAGGAACCCGGAGTCCCCTCCCCGGAAGCGGAAGTGGGCGTGGAAAGAGGCGCGGACCTCTGTGGAAGCCGCGGGTCATTCTGAGCTCCGTCCCTGGCCCGAAATGTTTTTATTTGACGGGGAGGGAAGGAGAGACATGGACGTCGCTGGGAGAGACAAACATGGATTGGTGGCCTCCTCATGCGCCCGACCCGGTTGAACCCGCTATCTGAGGATGTGCCCCGCCGGGAATGGAGCCCGCCCCGCTTTGGTGTAAAAGGCTCTCCAGCAGACAGAGCCACACCAGCCGGAGCAGAGGGGAAGCTCTAGTATTTATTGGCAGGCACGCCACATCCGTGGGCACTGCCATTTTTCTGAAATCTTGGACATTTCCTCTGCACATAGCTGTGGTCTTGCCTGGAGGCTAAATCCAAGCCCCAGGGGCCTAGAGCCACAAGCGGCTCTTTGGCCCCTTGAGTGTGGCTCTTCCACAAAATACCACAGTCTGGGCAAGTCTATTTTGAAGAAGTGGCGTTAGAAGTTGAAGTTTAAAAATTTTGGCTCTCAAAAGAAATTTCAGTCCTTGTACTGTTGTTAATTGGTTCTGTTGACTAATAAGTTTGCCAACCACTGGCTTAGAGCGTATACTATTCTTTAAAACTTGTAATATTTATGCTAAGTCCATGGTTGAGTCTCAGTGAAGGAACATGCATGTTTGTGTCGAGATTCCCCCCATTAGTTTGAAGGCCATCAGCCTCTGTGCCTGGAGAAATCATAAGTTGAACCAACTAATAAAAACACAACCAAAAACATACATGCATAACCAAACATGGCATTATATGTTTTAGAAATGTCTCTACCAGGTGTAACACAGGATGACAAAGCTATTTGTAGGAAAACAGATTGAAAGTAGCCTGTTTGTAAATGGTAGAGCATTCTCATCTCTACTTTTTGAGGCTGTGATGTGTATGAGAAACACCTGAGCTAAAGTCCAGGTTTTCATCATTGTCAAGCATTCCATTAAATTTAGTGTGTGTGGAAACTGTGCTGCTTAAAAGAAGAGATCCCTCCCTCTGGCTGGCCCTGCCCAATTGGCCCCAAATGGGGCAGGTCAGCCAGACCCCACCCATGCACTGAGCCTTAGTGTCTAATACTTGCATGGTAGTTTACATCTTGCATAATTCTCTTCCTGAAAGATAAAGGGTTTGTAATCATAAAACCTAAAAAAGGCAAACCTCTAAAATCATGAGAGGTCTGTCACACTTTTGTTTTCCATAAATATATGGAATATATATTTTCTTCCTAATTTATTTCATCATTTATCAACAGACCAATGCAAATATTTATAAACTTGAACACTAAACAAAAGTTTAATCTGAACTGTCTTTGGGATTAAAGAAATAATGTATTGAACATTAAACTTTCAAACTACACTGTATTTTCTAGTCATTTTTAAGGCAGGAATAAATATTCTTCAGATTGTGTACTAGATGTAAACAATGTTCATTTCACATCTGGGACTGGATTTCAAAATTTGTAAATTGTTGGTTATGGCTTGGAACAAATTTTCCCATAGAAACAGTGTTATCTATCTATATATATAAAAGCCTAAGCAACTGTTATGACCAGAAAACTGGTTATCCAGTCACTATGATGCACACTGACCACCCAGGGGCAGATGCTCAATGCAGGGGCTGCCCTCTGGTGACATGGCCCCAATCATCAGTCAGGCCAAGGGACCCCCACCCGTGCATGAATTCATGCACCAGGCCTCTAGTGTTGCTATAAAAACCTACTTAATTCATAAAATAGCTGGACTGTTGTAGTAATAATATAATGGAATTTGACCACCCTTTATAAGTGTTTCTATTAGAAAATGTTCCACATCAGGCTTCCAGCAGTAGCAGACACTCGGTAGGGGAAAAACATTCTAGGATGGGAGGGGGTGGCATGGGGAAAGAGCTCTGGTGTCCAAGTGCTGCTGGGGCAGAGTTTAGAACGGAGAGACTGGAAGGCTGTCAGTTGGCTAAGAGAAGGGTCTAGTGAACCAGTAATGGGGACTGGAAATGGGACACTGTTTGGTGGGCCATAAACTGAGGGCTTCTGGTGGCTGTGCTTCCCAAGAGAGTAGCAGTAAGAATTTCAGTGCAGCCAGTTACAGTAACAGGTCCAAGACAGGAGACAGGCCCTGACAGGAAAGTGGGAATGACATTGCTTATTTCTGACCTCTGAGTGTCTGTATTCATGAGAAGGAACCGCTGGCATTCCTGGGTGACTGGGTGGTCCTCTTGATCAAAGCCTCATGTTAAAGTATTGTTTTTACTCCCTCTATAGGAGAGCCAGTTAGTTTCATCAAAGAAAATGTTTTTGTTTTCTTGCTATAAATTTTATTCTTGGATAGTTTCTATTAGTTGCATGCTGCTTACTAAGGACAGCATTGGAATGGATAGATAAGTTACCATCACTGCAGAAAGAATTCAAATCAGGTGAAAGTTTATTTTGTGTAAACTACAGAGAAAAAAAAAGAAATAACCTATTTGGACAGTTTTCTTTGGAAATTTAGGGAGACTAAATATTGAAAATTTTGTCAGTTAATATCCAGTGTTAAAATGTACGCATGTGGGGATCAGTGATAAAAATGTGTATACGCCCTCTTAAAATTAGGTTTGAAAAAAATTGAGTAGAGCAAATTCAAATTTATCTTTAGGGTAGAAATGATCTTTTAGTTAACTTATTTGTAGTACCTGAATTTTTAAAAATCAATTCTACATATCAATTACATAAGTGTTTGATTTTTTTTTAATTAAAATTTCTGAGGCCTGGCTATATAGGCTTCTCTGAAATCCTCTTGTTCTTTTAGAATTTCCTTGCTTTCAATTTTGTTTTTCTCTTTCTTTTCCTTCCTCACAAGTTCCAAGGAATGGTTTAGACAAAAGAGCTCCATTTGTCTTCATTGCTTCCTATCTTTATGTTTTGTAGCTTTTATTTTAAGGTTCTTGGTAGGTGGGACATTTAGGAAGTCAAAGTGAACCAATCTCATCCTTTAGCTATTTGACTCAGGGCTAGTATTTAACCTCGGGTTGCACATCTGCTACGGGGCCTGTGTAGTAGTCCCTACATGTAGAGCGCCCAGTGCTTTCAGAGGTCTGTCTGCTGTGCAAGGAGTGGACATATTTCAGGTGGGATTATGGAAAACTATTAGCCTCTGTCTTCTGTGTGACCACCTGCAGAGAAGACAAAGTGGAAAGGAGGTCCACACTAGAGTTTCTGTCAGCACATTAAAATAGCTACCTGGTAATTCCAGATTTGAAGTGGATTCCTCTTATTCAAACAAAAGAAATTAAAATATGAGATGATTGGCTGCCCAGGACTGCAAATGTCCATAGAAAAACAGAAACCAAAGTTAACCTTATAAATAAGAAGCCTTTGAACACTAAAAATGGAGAAAATGGAAGATATATGTAATATTATTGTTGTCATGCCTAGGACTACCTAGTGACTACCCATCATAAACAGCTTTTTAATTAAAAGGTTTTAATTTCAGACCATCCTTTGTGGTTACTTTAAGTCTCTGAAGATGGCCACACAGGCCTTCCCTCAGTTAGTCAGGTTAGCATGTGGCCTCTTTTCATCCACAATAACATTACAGTTATCTCCCATTTTCTCCATTTTTGCCTCCCTCCAACCACTCCCTGCCCCACCCCAGGCCTACACCATACTATTCTCTGTGTCCAGGGCTTATGCATATATGTTCTTTGTGTTTTTTTTTGTGTGTGTGTTTTTATATTTTATTGATTTTGTACAGAGAGGAAGGGAGAGAGATAGAGAGTTAGAAACATCGATGAGAGAGTCATCGATCAGCTGCCTCTTGCACACCCCCTACTGGGGATGTGCCCGCAACCAAGGTACATGCCCTTGACCGGAATCGAACCCGGGACCCTTCAGTCCCCAAGCCGACGCTCTATCCATTGAGCCAAACCGGTCTCGGCCATATATGTTCTTTGGTTAATCCCTTCTTGTCCCCTCTTACCCAACCCCACTGAGATCTGTTATTCTGTCCCATGCATCCATAACTCTGGACCAATTTTGTTAGTTTATTGTGTTCATTAGATTTCACATATAAGTGGATCATGTGATATTTTTCTTTCTCTAAAAGGCTTATTTATCTTGGCGTAATAATCTACAGGTCCATTTATGCTGTCTCAGAGGGTAATAAATCCTTCTTTTTTTTATTGTTGCATAATATTCTGTGGTATAAATGTACCATAGCTTTTTAATCCACTCATCTACTGATGGGCACTAGGGCTGTTCCAGATACTAGCTAATGTAAATTGTGCTACTATGAACATAGGGGTGCATATATTATTTCTGATTGATGTTTCTAGTTTCTTGGGATATATCTGTAGAATTGGGATTGCTGGATCAAATGACAGTTCCTTTTAATTTTTTTATCCACTCATCTACTGATGGGCACTAATCTTTTGAGGAATCTCCATTCTGTTTTCCACAGCAGCTGCACCAGTCTGCATTTCTACCAGCAAGTACCAGGGTTCCCTTTTCTCCACATCCTCACCAGCACTTGTTGTTGTTCATATATTGATGGTATCCATTCTGGCAGGTGTGAGGTTATACCTCATTGTCATTTCAACTTGCATCTCTCTAATGATCAGTGAGATTGAGTTTGTATTTTCCATGTCTCTTGGCCAGCTGTGTGTCCTCTTTGGCGAAATGTCTATTTAGATTCCTCACCCATTTTTTAAT